CCCCAAAACCCCAAAACCCCGCTTGAAATAATACGGTTTGGTAATTATCATTGGTATTTCTTTCGATTTTGATAAATAAAATTAATTGATAAAATGAGACCAACTGACTTGAAATTTAGATCAATAAGAGAAAAGACCCCCGAGCTTCCAACATTTACACCAGAATATACTAGACAAGGATAGCCTCTTTTTGCAGCTTTATAATCAAGAAAATCATCTCTGTCTATGCAGAAAAGAATCTAATCTGCAACTAAAGTTAGTTTAAATTAAGCAATAAGTAATGATGAGATTTCAAGAAATAGACCAAACAGTTCAATTAGACTTGGCTCATATTACAAGAATATCATAAATCCATTGGGCTTTGGTTAATCTTAAGATAGATTTTCACTAGACCATTCAAATCCTCTATCTCAAGTCCCTAGTACATACATGAATTAAAATCTAGGCCCAGGGTCATATGATGCTGATTTGCAATATCACAAATTAACATCAAAGGCCTGTCCTGTTAAATATTAGCATTTAACCATTGGGTAAAAACTAGCAGCCAGCGGTGATTTTCATTTTGAAGGCAGTAGATTAGTGTATGAACCAAGCTACAAAGATCCTAGAAAGAAAAGTGGTGATCAAGATAACTATTAAAATATAATTAGCAGGATAATGAATGGTGAAGTAGATACAGATATGCTCAAGTAATTATCCAAGAAAATTTAGACATAAAATAATTCTAGCATTGCTATTAATGACTCAGCAACCAAGATAAATAGGAACAAATCTATGGGCAATCATCATTCGAGTTTTAACAATAGCATGGCAGTAATGAATCAATACTAAAACATGAGCTTCCAAAATGACTAGGAGGAGAACGATAGTATTCAGGCAAGAATGTCAAAGAAGTAAGCATATAAATACAAAAGCCCATATAAGCAAGTTTCAACTAGCAATACCAGTTATAAGAAAAATAATTACTATGGAAGGAATTAAATTAGAAAAAATCTAAACTTAACTTAGAATCCATAGAACATTATTATTTTCATGGGAGATACTATAAACATCAATCCTCAAAATACTTTCATCATCAACTAAGGAAAGACCTTTGACAATGGCAGTGTTTATAATAATATGAGATCTTAATACCAAAAGTCTCCCTCACCAACTTCCAGAAACAATTGAGAGGAACTTTACAACCCAGTTTTGAGTGAAAATATACTCAACAGTACCTTTGATAGGGGTCAAATGTAAAGGGCAAGTTAGAATGTGTATAGAATTTTAGCTAGCGATTCAAATGTGAAGTCTGGATACTTTTAACATGGATTTCAATGTCCCACAAAAAGTAGCACATTCTAAAGAAAGAAGCCAATTGCATACGATTTAGAAGTGATCAATAATAGTTAACCATAAAAGAGACCTAGATCTGGCAAGAAATATGTCTATAACAGGCGACAAGTTGTTTCTGCCCTCGACCACTCAATTTTGCCAAGTTAGTTTAATTAAGAACCTGTGACTTCAACTATTCTAGATCAGACTGTTCCAATAGAAATATAATCTGAATAGAATCAAGTTGTTGTTAATATCTAGTTAAAGGAGAAGCCTTATTCTCAGATACTCGATGTAAGGAAAAGTAGCAAGTCAAGATATTCAGAGGATTTTTAGAATAGTAAAGATTAGCTTAACTTTGATTAATAACCTAAAATCGTGACAACAAAGATGACTTCCTAGAGAAATCTATAAGTTGGAGATTCTTAAAGTATGAAAGTAAACAAACAAGCAGACGAACAATTAGTGGAGCAAGAGCAAACTTCTTTCAGATAAAATATATTTGGGATTAAGTCTTCTAATCTTGGCTCGATTGATAATGATAACTTTAACTATTTAGATGGAGGAGACAGAGATCAGCCTTCAACTTAAAATTTTACTTAAAACAAATAGGCACCTCATCATGTTCACCAGAACCTAGATTAATTTTAAGTAAATAAATAGCTAGATCTTCTAAACAGATCAGTGAAAAGTGAACAACAATAAAACCTCAATAATTTTAACTCATTAAATCAACATAGAGATTATGAACCTCAAACAGAGAAGGCCTCTAATTTGTCAAGAATTATGCTAAAATCAAAAGATATTCATGTCAAATTAAGTGATATGCAATCAATTAAGTCACAGCATACCTCAAATAAGTGAAAGTAAAAATACATGAATAGGTCTGCAAGTTTTCCATTGAGCCAAGTTATTTTAATTATAATAATTTTATAAATTTTAATTTCATAATTTGTTAAAGTAAATGGGAAACAATTAAATGAGCTCTGCATATGAGTTCATTATGGGCAATAATGGCAGAGACAGGAGCTTTGATGAAAAGCTTCCAGACGGAGATAAATATTTTGGTCTCGTTAATGTACTACAATTCCATTTTATTAATGAAATCTTAGGATAGCAATATTTGCTATGCAAACTCAGCAGTTTAGATTCTATTTCACTGCAAGCAATTTAGACAAAAAGTTTTAAATTTCTAGCCTAAGCAATCTACAAAAGATTATCTGACTAGAGATCTATAAGACCTATTTCAGCAGATGACATAATCTTCTAAATCTAAAGGCAATATTAATTCAAAGAAGTTTATGCAGAGAATAAAAAAACTAAACTAACTCTTTGACAATGATGATCACCATGATTCGCATGAGTTTCTGATATGGCTGCTCAATCACATTTCTGAGGAACTCTAAGCTGATATCAATAGAGAAAACAAACAAAAGAATTAGGAGACTAATAATAAGATCTAGCAGAGTTCACCTAATCCCTATGTATTCGTTCAAGATTTGTTTGAAGGTAAATTGGTATCAAAGATAAGTTGCAATTTATGTGAATGCGCGAATGAGAGAGATGAACCATTTATGGCACTCTCAGTAGATATTGAGAAAGGAAGCTCTTTGAATCATTGTATAAAGCAGTTCGCTCACAAGGAATGGATGCTCAACAGGGATAAATTTTATTGTGAATAGCAATGCTATACTAAACAGGTAGCAACTAAATAGATGATGATTAAACAAAAACCAAAGATACTTATAATTCATTTGAAGAGATTCAAGATAGATCCATAGACATTGAGATACCAAAAACTTTCTCACAGAATACCATTCCCTAATGAACTAAGAATAGAATCAGCTCTCGATGAGAGCGAAGATAGTTCATAAAGTCTTTTATATCATTTAAAGGGAATAGTAATTCATGTTGGACAAGGATTCTCTTATGGCCATTACTTTTCCCTGATCAAATCTTAAGGTAGATGGATTAAAATGGATGATACTAATGTGTCAGTAGTTGATGAAAAATATATGAGAGCCTTATATGGACTACCATCGAGTAATGAATAATCTGGTTGGCCCACAGCCTACATGTTATTATACGATAGCTAACCTGATGAATGACTTTGATTAAATGATTTAGTTGATCTCATCTTCTTGAATTGAGTTAAAATATGATAGTTTAGTATCTTATACTTTTAAACTTATAATTAATTAAGTAAATTGCAGAGAAAAGAATGGTTGAAAGTACTTAATACGATCCAATATATGGAATATTCAAAATGAATTCCTAATTTGTATGTGAAAAAAAGGACTCAGAAAGAGAAATTAAAATTGTTCCGCCTGAGGCTCATGCAATTAATCTTGCAAAAAAAGATAAGACGACTTTTGAACAGAAACTCAAAGAATTTGTTGCAAATGATCTTATAGGATCATTCAATTGGAAAGAAACATTTCAGGGCTAGAATTCTATATCTTAATTAGAGTCAATCAATACTTATGGAGTTGTACTCATTGCTTATGGAAACTGCCTTGTTTTATTGAAAGATACTTAAAATAGCAGAGTTTTCATTGATGTCTAGGATTTTATCACAGTGAAGCCATTCTATTACAAGTTTAGTGGAATTATTAAATTAGTTAAAGTGGCAGAAAATGCCAAAGACAAATATCTTGGACTTCAAATTGATTAGGAGCTTTACATTTTAGACACTGCTAAGTTTTTAGATACTCCTGACCAAGGTAGTAAAGCATTCTCGACTAATGAAGCCTCAATCATCAATAAACTTAAAATTGATATCAACTCATATGTGAGATAATTGAGTTTCAATCCTGATGACAATTTCAAGCAATGCTTGATCACTACCAATATCAGAAAACTTGTTTTGTTTGACTTAGTATCTGGTGCAACAAAATAAATTGAAGATGATGTTACATCTGCAATATTTAACAAATCAGGTGAGCATGTGATAGCTTCATTCTACAGAGAGCAAGATCATTTAGAGATCCTTGACAAAAATTCACTTTAATCACTGTCAAAGTTAACAATATCCATAGGGGAGGATTGCAAGCATGATAAGTATAGAGTTTACTAACTGTGTGACTACTTTGGAGATAACCTCATCATCGGAGGTTGTGGCTTTGTCTCACCTGATCAAATAGCAGATAACTTTGGATTCTTACTATAAATTTGGATTGGCTAGAATCTTACTCCTCAGTCAACCATGAATCAAATTAAGTCTGATCGAAAACTAAAGATTTAGTTTTTGTTCGATTAGTAGCCTAACAATGATGAAGATCCTACCTCATTCAAGCTTTAATATGCTTCTAAAGATCCTTTATGCAAGAATGTGATTGGTGTGCTAGGAGTCTCATAATGCAAGGAGCCAATATTCTTTAGTATTGAGGAAGGAGTCTTGAAATACACATATGAATTCGTTACAGTCAAATTTATGGTCACAGTTCCAGGGGGTTTCGATGAAATTGCTAATCTTGGCTAATACCAAGGATTCGCTATGATTAAGTTCAGGCCTTCAGACCAAGCCTAGACTTTTGATTTAGACATGGGAGATCATACAATTGCTTACATGTATCCACCTTTGATTATTCAATAAGGCATCGATGGAGAACTTCATGAAGGAATGATTTTTATTCCAAGATTTGAATAAGATAATCTACTGGTTTAAACTAAACCAATCCCAAAGAGTTAATCAGTAGTACAATCATCTCCTTAAGCTCAGGTTTAGAGATAAAATGAAGAATAGAAAAAGAAAGCTGAAGAGGAGAAAAAATAGCAGTAACCATTTCCCTAAATACAACCTAATACTTCATTGTAGTAGCCACTAAGTTAAACTTAGAATACTTAATCTCGGAACCAATTTTCTTTTAGTGGACCGAACCCGACTTAGTTACAATAAAATTCGAATTAGTAAAACTCTTTTGCTTTAGGATAGGATTAGAATTAGATTAAACATTCAAACACTTTTTCTACTTAACAATAAAAATTGCCTGTTCAACAATTATAGCATTCTCAGACTTCTACCATGTTTGGATCTTTATCATAGTCTCCAATTCAAACCGATCCCTTCAAAGATGGAACTTTTGCTACTCCTTAAACAAACAAAAACTCTCAAACTTATCTCTAATCATCCTCCTAAACTGGTGCATTTGCTCTTGGGTAAAAGCTTATACAGCCTCAATTAAAATCAAGTACCAAAATTATAGGATCCTAATAAACTTTGCCTCTTTAGAATCAACCAAGCAATTTTTCATTTTCTTAACCTCAAATCCAAGCTGACTAAGCTTAAAATAAATCATAGGCAATTCCCATAGCTAAATCTTAATTAGCTCCTTAGTAATTAACATAATAGTAACAAATACAACAGTAGAATAATACTTAACAATCAATTCCACTAAGTTAATAGCCAATTTAAGTCTAAATTTCATAGTAAGCGATTGTTTAAAGTAAACAGAAGACTCCTATCCAAGTTCAAATCGAAGATTTTGAAAAGAAGATGACTGATCATTATAACAAAGAAGTAGTTGATCTCCTGAAACAAGTTAAAGATAATTTGCCTAATTTTTAAAGCCTCAAAGATGATCTGAGAGCAAATAACATCAAATGGGACATATTTTATCAATTGCTAAATAATAGCAAAACTTTCTCGAGAATTTAGAATAGCTAATATCAGAATAAGTAATAGATAAAGCATTAAATTGAGAATTTAAGAACATAAGCATCTCAAATAATATAGATAAGAGAATAATTCTCCAAGACTAAACAAGAGATAAGAAATTCTTAGTACAAAGATGATTTCGGGTTAAGTTTCCAGTAAGGTAAAAGGCTAAAAGATCTTATTTTTTTTGAGGATTCTAAAGTGGACAAAAAGCTGTAATTTAATAAAGCACAAAAGTAAAAGCTTGCGACCATCGTTGATAAGGCATTAGATATTCTTGAAAGAATAAAGCCTTAAAAGGAAAAGTCATTGAATTCATAAAAACTCAATGAGCCAACTCAAATATAATGCGAAAAAGTTAAATCAATGGCTTTGAGATAGCAAGCTTAAAATTATACTCGAAACAAATTTTTATCTCGAGGTGTTAATCCTTAGGCAAACGATAGTGATTCTCAACAAAATCTAACGATTTTGAAGGAATTCTTTGAAATCAAGAAAGATAACATAAATGAAACTATTGAAATTGCCAGAAACAAACAACAGAAATATATTAAGCAGTTTTAAAAGTATTCTGAGAAGATTAATTCTGATATGGCCTCTAAAAAGATTTATTCAAATGAAGGCAATCTCTTAAGAATCATAGACTAGCCAATCTAGGTTCGATAATAATCTAAAAATATGCATCAACAACTAATCTATAAGATAGCTAACTCAGATTATCAATAGTTATAATAGCAAACTCTATAAAGACTAATGAGTGACCAAGAATGTATAAAATTAAGCATAAATGGCAGCTAAAGAAATGAGAGACTAAATGA